CGTGCGTGTGATATAGTGCGCCACTTGCCACTTATCACACCATTGTTACATCCAAAAAACTTAGTCTCTAGATTCTTCTGCGCAGTATGCCTTTCAACATATTATAGGTACCATAGCCATCTGGAAGGATAAAAGGCGGCGTTCCATCGGCAGGCGTTTATCAGTCATCGTATAGACTATATGAGCATTCAATGCGTCATTACGATTCTGAAAATGGAAGTCGAATGCGGGGCGCATAGTAATAACGAAATTAATTGACGTCAAAGGACTATTAGGCTATGAAGACCCTTCAATGATAAAGTCAAATATCGTTTTCGGATTAAGAAATCGGTTACTGCAGGAGATTCATTAGTCGGAATCAACACATATCTGCAAAAATAATTCTAGGTAATAAATAAATTAGAAAAACATAACAACACATCTGCAAACACATAACATCATATCTCTATTTCATTGAAAATATTTGTCGAATATTTTTTGTTTTTGTTTGACCATAATACCCGGTATTATCTATGCATCAACATGGGTGGAATTCAAGTAATTCAGATATGAAGGATTGTGGAAGGTNCGTCAAGCATTCGGCCTAGAGACATTCGAAATGCCATTTTGATGAAAATAGAATGAGAGGCGCATTCCATGAACTGTATGGTCAGCACTTAAGAATTTATCTTCCCTTAACCCTTATCTGACCCTTAGCTNTCGACGAAATAGTAAAATATTATCTGCCTGTTTTGTTTTGTCAATTACGTATTACCACTGCTGTAAGTGAGTAGACGTAGCAGAATCTAAGCTACATTCGGGGATTCTGAGTAACTAATCCTTTCATACTTCGGATACTGTTTGGTATGAGCTGTAGATTGGTCAAAGGCGGCTGAATGGAATAAGGACCGAAATAAGCAATGAGAGAAGAGAAGATGGCCTTTAACTCGATTTGAAAATTCCATTCAAGACAGAGAGTGCAGGTCAGTCCTGGTCAATGTACTCCACCATTGTCGCCTAATGTGGATGGGGAGAGAGGAAAAATGCAACCAAAGGAGGAGAGGGCTCTGAGGTTGCATTGGCAAGCGCTATTAGTAGAGTAGTAAAATTTTGAATGGGGTGGGAGAAGCTTGCGCTATGAAAGGTCCAAAGGTGTGAGAAAGCCTGATTGTATATATTCATTCAAGGCTCGTTGTGCTTCATCATGAGACTTGTCATTTCCTTAAAGGTGATCTTCGTAAAAGTGACGTCAGTGTAAAAGTTCATGGGTTAATGGATCATAAAGAGAACTATACAGCGGGTATAAATCGCTTGAAGGGCATTGTCTTGTACTTGTACACGCCATTCAATATGTCCAATACGCACTTAATTCTGGTTTGGAAGGGCAATGTGTAGCCCAGTTCAGAATGTCCGAATTACAGGGTGATCCCGCAAAACTGAAGAGGCTCTATGGACCATTTTTGGAGTAGGGAATCTCCTTTGAAAAGAAAGTCAGATAATGTTAAATCACATTTTGTGCAACAACTAGGAAAAACACAACAACAATGGATTTTGGACAAAGTTGTGGAGCAAGCATTGAATTCAGTTCAAGTTCATCTTCCATTTTTTTCTTCCGGGCCATTTACAAGAGAAGCATGATCAGATTGAAAATTGACACTATCTTTTCGATGTAAGCCAACTATTACTACCTCGATGTATAATATTACTTCCAGGTACACTGGATATGTACATAGTGTTTCTCCAACAGAGCACAGGTGTCTATCCGATGGCATATGGCTATTAATTGTGATAATTTGAGAAAAACTGCTTAGAAATAGGTCTAACAGTTGACTACCGGATGGCAATCGCACAGTGTAATTTCATAAATTTATTTTCAAGTGGTTCATCAAATCCTAGCACTGAAACCATCGATTGAATGTTTTTTAAAGAGGGATAAGCTAACGAAGCAGTGGAGTACTTGGATATCGTTGAAAAAAAGTAAAATGTAACCTTTAAAATCAGTCAGCTGAGGATTGAAAAGTCTTTCTTCGCAACATACTTTGAAAGCAGTCCAGATTGGCGTAGGAAATAAGAAAGATTGATCGCAAATGGTAGATTATTACAAGAATCGCACTTCTGGCGAGGCTACCGGATTTCCTGACAGTGAGCTAATTTATCGAGGCTCTCTACGATTAATTTGCAGCTATTCGTCCTATATATTCAACTGTGCAACAGTCTACTGCCCTCCCTCTCCTTTTTAAAGTGGCGAAGCTCATTTTCACAGTAAGAGCTGCCAGAGAGTAAGTTATATAGTACAAAAGCAAATGACAGCAATAATATCATGAAGAAAAATCACTGGTTGGTAGGCCTAACGAAAGCTCTTCTTACATATCATTAAGACATCATACTCAAAAAAGTGTGCCTCACCTCTCTCTGCAATGGAAGAGCGACTATCCTTTCCCCTACCCTTTGTTTCCCATCAAGCATCATTCCCTTCTAGAACCTACTTCAAAATAGTTTAAGACTTAGCTTAGTTATAGCAACCATTGCAGAACATCAAAAATTTGGCCTACAGAATTTCAAAGTGGTGAGAAGCTGTCTGAAGATGCGCTCGAAGACGCCAAAAAACGGGTTCTCAGGATCTCTGGAATAGCCTGGTGAGAAGGTTTTGCTCGAGGCTAAAATGAGTTCGCTCACACAAACAGTTTTTTGTCCGACTACTTTCAGTACTTAGAACTTTGCTTGAATTTTCGGGTCTTACGAAGAACAAAGTTCAGGGGCATTACAAGATGATTCTTTTGGAAAATTTCCACTTGGAATGTTCACGATCTCATCTGCGGGAAACGCTGGTGGCAAAAACTTTGCCGTTTCAAAAAAAGCGGAAGCTTTGCCAGATGGAAATAGAAATGTGGGTGATCAAATAGATTTTGTGGGCTATTAAATGGATGGCTGGGTAATTATTCTATGAAATGCGGTCGTATCTCAATCGAAAAGCTCAATAGGGAATTTTGTGCCGAAGTACCCATTAATTCTTCGTGAGAGTGCCAATAAGTGAAAACTTCGCGCTAACGGGATAGATGATTCTCGGCTCAAAGGCTAAATATCATCCCGTCAACTGAAATTGCAACATTAGCATCGCATTCACAGGAGACGAAGGTCAGGGGAGGCTAGGAGAGTCCGCTCAAATCATATGTAGTATATGAATAAAAGACGAAAACATTCAAGTTAGCTTTGGCATTTAACTTTGTGACGCTTACCTATTGAGGGGTTATGGCCAGACTAACCTCATCTTGAAGAGCTTCCAACAAACCAGGAAGTGCTTTCTATGGAGAATTCAAGGGAAACAGGTGCAACACAATAAGGGGCAATCAGTAGGCGAAGTACAAACTGCGTATCATTACACAGTTAGTGCTATGAGGGGAGGATAAAGGTGGATGTAAGAAAAAGATGTCAAGGAATAACAGACGTAAAGGTATCCATCAACCACGAATGGGAAAAAGCAATGAAGAACCTTAGGCAGGTACTTTAGGAATGCCCTTACAGAACATATAAGGACATTCCTAAAGAACCTGCCGAAGAGTCCTCAATAGTTCATATTCCTTCTGGGAAGTTCTAGAAGATTCCCTAGAATTGCTATATGAGGACTTTACTCACTTGAATGCCCTTAATGTTATATCCTGCCACCTCTTCCTTGCTTAGCAATCTTTATAATGACTGACTTCACATTCTCATTCCGACTACTTTCACCACAGTTCGAATGTGGCCACTCCAACTTCAAAGATCATCGGAACTTTCGTCAAGCATTCGGCCTAGAGACATTCGAAATGCCATTCTGATGAAAATAGAATGAGAGGCGCACTCCATGAACTGTATGGTCAGCACTTAGGAATTTATCTTCCCTTAACCCTTATCTGACCCTTAGCTCGTAGCAAACTCTAAAAGTCTCAGTACCCAAAACTTGATCTCGAATTTTTCAACAGCTTTATGCGACATTCCAGAGAAGCTTTGAGAATTATATACTTAAGGTTGCCTACAGACGGACTCGCACACTCACATCAGGCTTTCATTGGGTTTGCTTATCCAGTTCCATTATTTTCTCGCTGATATGACTTGAGAGGAGCAAAACGCAAAAAAATGAATTGAAAACATTTATAAACCAAATATTTACTCTAACACAAATACATATACACAATAAAGAGCAGGTAACACTTTCCAGTGTAAGCTGACTGCTGAAGCACTGGTTTGATTTCGTAAATCACCAACACTAGACATATTCGGTGCCATTCTCATCAATTCCACTTCCTCTTCTGATTTGCTCGTCGTCGTTGTCATCAGGCCGATACCGTCATTATCTCGCTCCAGAATCTTTGCTTTTTCCATTTCTATAGAATGTGATGTAGATTGGTCAATTTCCATAGAAGTGGACGCACTTTTGGGTAGTTGCGTCGACCATTCTGCATTAGCCATCTCCATTTCTATAGATGTCATGGCACTTTTTGGTAACTCAGTTGACCATTCCACAAGTTCCTCCGCGAGACGAAACTCTGCTGACGTGACAACCTTTTCTGTTGAAGTCATATAGATAGTTGTTAGTTTGGGTGACTTTTTCGACGTGGTAGGGCTCTTGGTACGGTATGTAGACGGTCGTGGCAAATAAGAAGGTGTGGTGACCCGATTCTTTGCTGATGAAGTGTCAGTGGCAAGGGTGGAGTTCAGACGTCTGGAGAACTCTGAAAAATCGTATTTTGAATTCTATAAACACTAGAACAGTCTTAGAAATACTTCCCACTTTTTGAACTTTAAATGGGTACTGGGAGGCTTCCCCTCGTGAGTAGTTTTGTTAGGCTCCCTGGGGTACTTTAGGCCAGTTTTATGGTCAGGTATGATGGCCTCCCTACGTGGAGGACAGCAGAAAAGTGAAGAGACGATTATTAAGAAGCAGGACGAACTGAACAAAATCAACATTTGGAGCGAGGACTTCCGATTTTCGAGAAAGCCCATCCCGAAGGCCGATCTAGGAAGCGTAAGGCAAAGGAAGCACGAAAGGTGAGGCGTAACTTCTCATGCAGAAAATATCTGCTCGCGAAATCAAATAAGTAAATTGAGGGTACTACCGAGAATCGTCTTTAAATAAATCCTCCCTCACCAAACGTCGGCAACGGATTTTGTTCCATGAATTTCAAGGTGGATGTGCGCATTACGCCAACATCGAAGGCATAGTCTGTGTAGACGAGACATCTACCTAAGGACGGCTTGTCGATATTCAGTCCAAACAATCGTGTCACCGCGGGTTTTACCTGAATAGCCGATTCTATTAATTACAATTACAATACAATTAACAATCAAGTTACATTTCTGAGCCAGACTTTAACAATGGGATTTTGAGAGGACGATGACCAATGTATTGCCATTGTGCCATTGAATCACTTGAAGAAATTGCTATTCTGCAAAGGGGGGGGGGGGGGGGGGGGGGGGGGGGAGAGAGGAGAGAGCTTGGGAAGGGTAAGATTGGAAAAGTATAAAGGTGGGACAGGCAGATCGACTTTTCACCTAAGCGGGTCATGGCGGCGACGAGAAGCAGCCGGTTTCTTTCCTGTTCTGGGTATTAGGCCATATATTAACTGTGGGAACTTTAGGAAGGAGCAAACTCAGGAGGGAGTTTCGATTTTTTTTCCATGAATCAATCGGTTCAATTTGATTTCACTTCAAACTATAATTCCCAATGCGGACTGCGGTTTAATGAGCTCTAAGTCAGAGACTCACTTCGAATGTTTACTTCGATAAAATTTTTGTAATGATTTTTTGATTTTACCAAAAATTTTGAGGAGACGGGAAATTATTCAAACCAGTTTGAGCTCCCTTCCTCTGGCTAGGGTTGATGGTTTATGACACGAATTCTAATTAAATAAGCTAAAAAGTGTGGTGAGTGGATCAAACTCAAAAAATTTTGTTAGATAAGTTAGGTGAGTCTAGGCACTGGTATCCAAGGCATATGATGATCACTCTTTCCGACCAGAATCTTGATTCTCTCGGAATGCTCTGAGCCTTTCATTCATCACTCTCAGCTGACCGTTGATTAAGGATCGCTCGTCGGAGCGCTGATCTCCGTTGATGTTTACACAGAATTAAATTGTGCCTACGGCACAACGACGTGAATAACGACGGCAGCGGCAGTATTAGCCGGAATGTGAATAATCCGGATGGCTGATCAATCAAGGGCCATCCACGAGAACTAATGAAGGCGCAAACAATTCTAAACGGGAGAAACGAGAGCGGGGAAGGATTTTTCACAATCCCTTCTAAGAAGGATGTCAAATTCCTATTTATGAGTGGCACACCATTCACTAGAAGTGTGGATACTTACCGTCCTATCGGTTTCTGTGTATAGAAGGACATTTTGATCAGCAGCCATACTATTCAGCCATGGACGTTCTTCTTGAGAGGACGTGTTCACATAATGCGTTACCAAGGTGTTTGGTCTGAAAAACGATTCCTTCAGAGAATTTCAAGCATCTATGATGAAATCGGCTCTGGAACTGGCTGGGACATCCCTAGAAGACAACTGTTTACTTCAAGTGCATGTTTACCTTAAGTGAAAATACTAAAGTCCTTCTAGGGTCTGTACTTCATCACCAAGAGCACTTCTTCTCGAGCGTTGTTAGCTTCGAAGTATAGTTCCGAAGAGAAGAATTTTCACTTTGGGTAGGAGGTATCAGTAGAAAATCTCCCTTCAGCGTGAGGGCGGTGAAAGTATTCAGAGATCAGGGTGAGCCGAATAAATTTACACTATTCTGATCAAGCTAATCAAATATCTACGCAAGATCCACAACCTGAGGTCCCCAGGGTTCGTCCAAAGTCAAACATGGCTCTATCTCCGAATATGGTTGGTACCCGGGCGCTCCCTTATAGCAATGGAAACCGATGAACTGTATTCAAAGGTTCAAGGGGCAGTTTCCCTTCTCTCAGGGCATTCTTCAAGACCAAATAGTTGACGAGTATGTGGAAACTAACCTGAAGAGAAGATCATATGAGCACTCGTATAGAAGATTTCGTTCAAATCGGTTACGAATATAAATAAAGTTGCGTTGATTATCCAAAGTGACCACGTACTCGCTGGCCAAATCTGGACCAGTCCATACTTCTAAAGCTAAAAATGGAATAACTTAATGATTGCTAATCTAAGCTATTATGCCATGCTAACAAATGCTGAGCTCCTATACTACATTCACTCTATTTCTTTGTCGAAAACATAGTCTGAAGCTGTATATTTCTACAAGCAGCATGCTCTTTCTATTCCCTGTAAAAGATATGAAGAAAAAAGAGGTAACTCAGACAATGATGAAGTATTTCGGGGTCGAAGATAGTCTCAAACAAAATGTCAACTCTTACAGTTCCCTTTGATTCGGCAATATCCGAATCTCCTGTTGATCTCGATACAGGATCAAAAGAAGTGTTCAGTACTAACCCTTCCCCTCGGGACCCACTTCCGCTAATGTTCCTGATATGAACGAAGAGGGTACACTGGGGAGCAGTTGAGGAGCCGGTTGTCTCAGTTACTTTCTTTAATGTCGTGAGCCAGTCCGTCTCAGCTGGTCACATACTTTCTTCTGAAGTCATCATCTAACGAAGTCAGACGCCTTCTCTGATTGAATGGGTCGTTTTGGTATACTAAAGTTCTCTATGAGCCCCTCCTCCCACATCAGCTTCTGTCGTTTTCTAGGTCCTTCACATTCTCTTTAGCCTCCTTCAGCTCTTACGGACATAGCTGTCACGGATATATGCTCCACCTTTCTATAATCATTTCTGAATAGCAGTCGTAGGTATAGAAATGCATTGAACACAAGAGTAGTTGCTATGCTCACTAAGAACAGAAAATGGTTACATTTTATTATAATAGTTGTAAAAAGAGCGCGTTGAAAGGCATCTTCGCTTTCTCCAAAGGGGTTAGGTCGAGACCCCTGCCACTCCTGCTTATCATCCTTTGTTTGAAGATGTGTGCCGTAAAGGCAGCTTTAGACAGTAGGACTTGAGAAAGAAACATTCTTATAAGAAAAACTTTTGGCTTGGGCTCGTTCGACCTCGGACAAAATGCTAGGGCTGGTCTCAACAGGAACACTCAAGGCTACGGTAGCGCAGTGACCAGCAATGATTACTCCTGATCAGTCTCCGCCTATGAGGCAAATGAAATATGTACGTGAATTGGCTTACGTTTAGCATGGTTGTTAATGCTGATTTTTTCCAGATGTCGAAGGAAGCCTTCGGAATTGATCTGGAACTGATGCACTGTCCATAACGCACCAGTTGACTCCGCATCAATGAAATAAAGCACATCCTGGAATGGAACTGTCACTTGCTCGTTGTCACCTCCAACTTTATTTGCGTGAACCACAACTTTCTAGTGCCGAGTATTCAAAGTATTACTATAGGCATAGAAAAGTTTTTTGATAATTTTACTCATCACTTGGCTTTGGAATAGGTAAGACACTCACACTGAATACGGTATCGAGAAAAGACAAATCTGGTTCGAGCCGGAACATTTTCGGAGATGAATGAGAGCATGACGCATATGGTAAGGAAGATAGCAAGGAGTAGCTGAAATAATAGTCACTATAGTGATTGACTAACTTCTCAAAAAGCTAAAACCGTCTGAAAACGAAACAAGGTGAGAACATCGATGAGAAACAAATGATATAGGGCCTGGGAGAAAAATCGGAGACAGAAGAAACACTGAATGAACGCATACCCTTCATCTATCAGGTCAAGGGCAGCTGAATGGGCCAATATTAAGTGCGATGAGCGATGTCCTCTTCGCTATGCCATCGTTCCATCAGAAAACCAATGTCAGGCTGACCCCCAAGATATTTCTGATCATTTTTACAATTGATAGAGACATTACGGGAATTCTCGCAGTTTTTCTCCTCTAAAACTGCATTTCTGGTTAAACGACTCCCGCAGTCGTTCCCTTATGGGCACGATTGGTTGCTACGGTATTGGAATCACTCTGCAAGCAGCCATACCCAAAGGTGCAACTTCGGGTGAGNGTGATGAGCGATGTCCCCTTTGCTATGGCATCTTTTCATCAAAAAACCAATGTCAGGCTGACCTCCAAGATATTTCTGATCATTTCTGCAATTGATAGAGACATTACCGCTGTTTTTCTCCTCAAAAACTGCATTTCTGGTAAAATCGATTCCCGCAGTCGTTCCCTTATGGGCACGATTGGTTGCTACGGTATTGGAATCACTCTGCAAGCAGCCATACCCAAAGGTGCAACTTCGGGTGAGAACGGAATACTCTTTTAGAAGTTGCCTCTGCAATTTCACCCTCGAAGCGTTCAAGGGTCCCCTCAAAGAGTGGGAAGATCTATTTTAAGCTGAAGCTATGGATAAGATCTCTTATAAGCTCCGTGGAGCGGCGATATGTCGTATGTAGGTAATAGAGGGAAACATATTTAAGTTGTAATTAACTCCTTTAAAAACAGCCGACACTAAAGAAGTCCATTACTTGAAGATGGACCCGTTGAACCAAGTTTAACATGATTCGGCTTCTCTGCATATTTCTACAATTCCTATGGGATATTTCGGCTTTAGAAGAGCTTGCAACTGCAGTCCATTTGACTATGTGACACAAATGACAATGCTGGGTTCAAATCAGTCCTAAATCGAAGATTAACAGATGTGCTTTTTGAGTGGTTGAATGCGTGGCGCATTTCTGAAAAGCTTGAACACCACTTGGAATTTCATCCTTCCCACGCTTTATCAGTGAATTCATTGACGAATTCAACGAGGCAATGTCAAAAACTGAACTTCACTTCATCCTTTGACTAGAAAGCTTCCTCTGCTTCGGAGCAAGTGGAGTAAATTCCTTCAGATTTTTAATCTTTATATTCTTTGTGTCTACTTTTTTCATTCAATAACGTGAAAGTTGTAGTTACGACCTGTCACTTAGCTCTGGTTAATGAGAGTAATGAAAAGCTCCAATCTGTAGCCTCCCGCCGAATTCGCCTGGTAGACCAAATTGTAATAAAACAATTTACTTTGCTCAAACATATTCCGACGTTGCCAACTCTCCCCGTTTTGTTGTCCCCTAAACTGACGCAATTCAAGTAATGGAGCGCTTCAGAGTCACCCATTCTGTGCCATGCCACGAACAAACATAGCCATTTATCTTTATGATGATGTATAGCGGGAGGATTATGACTCTGGGAGAAGCCGGCTCTATGACGAGTGTCCATGAAAGAAATGAGAGCAGAATGATTTAGAACTACCGATGAAGGCAGTAAGCAATGTCTCTTCATGCTCTAGCCAATGCTGAGAATCAACTGCTGTTCTATTCTCGGTAGATAGCGTCAGAGAGAAAGATTTCGACAAAAAATGGGGAAAACATTGATGAAGGATATTCCATGAGCAAAGAGGCAACTCAAAACAAAAGAAAATTACCTGAACAAGTGATCTCCGAACAACATCTCCGTTGGTGGAATCTGCAGTTCCAATGTACATATCCGATTACCGGCTTGTTTTGTTAACAAAAGTAACGTGTTGTGTGACTGAAAATGAAATAATTATAAAGGTAAGTTAACAGAATATAGAATCACCCAATTTTGAAGGCATCGGTAAGTCAAAACCCTTCTAGAGCAACGAAGGAATTATCGGATCAGGGCATCTACGAGACAGGAAAATCTTACTCGGCATTTTTGTATATGGATCTACCAACGAAACTGCTCGATCTTTACAACAGAAGCTAAATCGTCGGCGATAAATTATCGGCGATGATCAGCCCCGATTCAGATGCGACCCCGCATTCGACTTCCATTCAAGATCGTAGTAGCGTATCGAATGCGTATAAGGCTTATACAATGACCGGTGGCCAGAGGAGGCACAAAATCACCATAGACGATGACAATCATCATCATAGACGCTATCACCTTTTCAGATGTGCCTGAAGCCAATTGTCGGACCCCGAAAGGGCATAGGCCTAGGTCGGCCTGAGCAAGTATCAATCCGGGATTCGATCCTGGAATTTCGCCGTTGTATCATCGGCATGTGAGATACCACTTCGCCCTTGAGGTTACTTCAATGGACATAAATCATTGTAAGAGGGTTCAATAACGGAACTGAAACCAATATTTGGAGGGGGCCAGTTTTTGGATTTTTCTCTTAAAAAGATTGTGCTGTCATAAGTAATCCGTGCGAAATGAGATGCTTTCATGAGGAAGGGCGCAGTTAGGGGTGAGATTACCATTGAGCTATACCGTCTCACCACAAATGAATCATTTTTTACAACCTTTTTTTTTGTTTTTTTTTGCAAAAAATCTGAAAAGCCAACGTGGTGCTATATATATAGACCAATTTAATTAACCATGTTGGATCTCAAATAGACTTGTGATGACTCTTAGCCCAAGTTTGAAGGAGTCAGGTTTAGAAAATGAGGAAATGCACCGATTAGCTTTTACAATTATTGGAACTAGCCTGATAATCCGATCAAGAACGAAAAATCTTACAAAAATCAAGAACTATATAAAGCCAATTGCGGAAAAGTAAGCAAAAAATGGGGCCGCAATTCTATTTCGCTTATTTCTCTACATGATAGCTGTTATATGTAGTGATTTTCCAGGAACTGCGTGCGCTTGGCTCTCGGCTAGAATTCAAAATGATCGTGGCCTTCTGAGAAAACTTTTTTGGAAAAACTGGGCCCTCGACTTCGTTGAAGCGCAACCACGGCGCTTTTGAAAAACATATTCAAGGGGAGAACCAGGCGGTGATCGAATTTCCTCGACCACCTTAACAGGCTTACCTCGCCTCGCAGCTTTCTAGCGCAATTTTTATCCCATTTCACAAGTTCCACTAGTCAAAGAGCTGGTCGTAAATTCACTTTTATCCGGAGCCATGTGACCACATATTGGGGGTATGGGTACATTCACCCGGAACTGTATGGACGCGGCAAACTGTGCGGCGAAATTCGTTGTGATAAAAACGGCTTTGACGGCTGTCACTGGGGCGCGGGTTTCAAGTAGATTGGATAAGTAGGGCAAGCTGATGCTACTTATCTATCCCACTTCAAATTTGTGCCCCAAAGATAGGCGCCAGAGTCGTTTCAATCACCACGGATTTCGCCGCGCGGTTTGCCGCGTCCATCCAGTTCTGGGTGAATGTTCCGTCCCCCCATATTGGCTGTCAGTTTTACATCAACTCACCTTAACGTGCAATTGCACCAAATTCGGATAACAGTATGAATTGTGAACGTTCACATTTATCGTTGATAATAACGGTATTTGTGATGGTCGAATAAAGAAAATCTGGCAATCCTGAAAAATACAAACTGAACTGATGCATTAACAACATTTCAGATTATAAAACATTTTTTACAAATTATCAAAAGTTCAACATTTTGTGACCCGACTAATGGAACCTATAGTTTTCCAAAAGAGAATAATCTAAAAATTGTTACAAATAGATTAATAGATAAACAAAATTCGGAAGTTTTCAAACGAAGTTTTCAAACGAACTGGAACAGGACTACTCCAATGTTTTCAAAGAGCTGATCACTTTTTTTCTTAAATTATTGCACCAATGACCCAGGTATCCAACGGGATAATTTTCTTCATTTCTCCTACTTTTTTTCAGGAGAGAGTTTTGATTAGTACCATCGTTTTGATTGACGTCCGAGGTTGAGCTTAACCTTTTATGTGTTAAGTAATCTGCTGGAAAGGCCACAGGATGACTCAGAGGTGAGCATCAATTAATAAAAAGGAATAAATAGATGGAAGGAAAGTGAAAACTGGATGAAGTACTCTTCATCTACATGTACTCTACATCAGAGACCTAGAAATCGACTCGCAACTCATTAACACCGTCATAACTCGAATTATAGCAAAATAGGTTATGTAATAAAGGCGCTAGATCGGTTTTTAGAGGATTTCTTCAAGGAGAGTAAGGATAAGTAACGAGATCGCTGTCTGTCATGATGTTGGCTAGGTTATAAAAAACCTAGGGTTTTTGACGGAGTGGCCTTCGAACATCGGTAAAAATCTTGTTTTCCACCCCATTTCCAGAGGAAAGTCTACCAGCGCAATTATCTGAACAGTGTCGTTTTGAATTACCCCCCATCATTGTCAATCCATTGAATGACTGAATGACAGGCTAGGCTATGTGGAGGAGTGGAGAAAAACGGTGTCGACCATTAATCAAAACAATAAAAAAGAAAAAACGCCTGAATCATAAATACATGCCTGTGTTAACCCGTAGATGATATAATCGTCGACTTCATTGCCTCGAACATCATGAAAATGTCGTGAAAGGCAAACGTCAGCCAGTGTTGTAAGGACCGTGTTGAACAGTAGCAATACACGCCACCAATACCACAAATAATACGTGTAGGTCATCGTCCACAAACAGCACAGCAGTTGACGAACGATGAAGCGAATTCGTGAGTGAAAGACGGCATGCGAACGTCGAACGGCTGAAACGGGCCAATATTCACCTCCATCTCTAAGCCGGCAGTTCATCATTCAAAAACGCGAACGTCTTCTGCCGCGACCACAACAACACACCGGCGCTCAGGCGATCAAAATCTTATCTAAAATAAGCTCACCACGTGATAAAGAGGTTGGCAACAACAGGGAATCAAAGGATTCAGATCGCACTTAGGTAGGGAAACGAGAAGAAAACATTCGGATTTGTTTCAGTCCTAATACCGAATGGGGCAAAAGATTACCATGTTTGTCGCGCTACTTAGAAGGTCGGATACACTCAGGTAAACAACTGCATATCACTACGGTTTGGGATTAAACCTCGCCCTCGGAGGCCGACCCACTAGGGGTCTCAAACATCTACGTGACCGAAAATCCAGATATCTACCTTGACAGGCGTCACGTGTTATCAAACAAGCTGGATAGTACTTTTTCAGCTTTTCCCTTTCCGATGGCTCGCATCGCTTGGTCGAGGCGTGGATTCTCCGCGCGGGGACGGTGATCTCTTTGGCGAACGGCAAAGAGACGCATCCTATGATGAAAAGACGGTGCTCGCGATGGTTCACTCTGATTTTTATCGACATAGACATCTTTTCTGGGCAATATTGATCCTTCATGAGACTGGCTCATACTTTTCTTTTTGGGATCCAGTCGGAAAGACAGTTCTATTCAAATCCTATGCCATAAAATCCTATAAATATGGCAGCTCAACAAAATGTCACGGTTTCTCAAAACTTTATTTGATTGACTCCGATTTTACTTTCCATGTACTTATTTCACTTTAGTTTCGAAGTACCCATGAGGTTTTAAACGAAAATATGCCTGGTTCTTCATGATGGCATGTTAAGAATGCTTTTTGCGTTAGTTAAAAATGAATTGTGCTTCTTAAGAAAGGAGGAACAATCAAGTTTTTTACAGGAGTACTGGGTGTTGGAGCCCTTTTTTGGGATTGCGCCCCATGTAAAGCCCCCCCACAATCCAACAGCCCTAGATGTTCCTCCAAATTCGCATCGCCAAAGTCTACGATTATTTGCTGTTACAAGTATGATTGCCATTTTGAAGTCCAGGCTTTGTGATTCCAAGTTGATCACTCTCGATTTTCGGCTCCTATTTGAATAACAGACCTACGCTTAAAACCCCTACACTGGCTCTGGGGAAAATTGGGAGTTGGACGTGAGGAAGAGGCTAATCAATACACACTTTTTCCATATTCTCTTTCAAAATGACCTTTCCTGACGGACCAAAAAGAAAGTTTTGGATGACTATGTGGGCTCGACGGGCATGGGCATAATGTATGAATAGCAGTGGTTAGCTTCAGAGCAGCAGCTTTCTTCTGTTCGACGGGATGCAAAAGTGAAAAAGAGACTCATAGCTGAGAGCAGCGCATCCTTCAATAATAACAGAGCTTTGACAACTGGTTTACATGCCATGGACAGTGCCCCATCTGGCCATCCATCACGAGCATAAGCACCCCTTTTGGCTCAGCCAATTAGACATCAGCACATTCAAGATGCCTAAGGTTTTTTAGCGTATTTGAAAATATTGCAAAGGGAAGAAGAACAGAATGACCGAAGGCCAACGATGTGCTTCCTATTAGAGAGTGTAGTGGTTGAATGAAAAGTGTCATCAATGCCATTACATGCGAAGATAAAAAAAAAGAAAAAAGTTCGAAACAAACATGCAATGCCGAGCAAAAATATTAAAGGAAATTGAATACGAGCTATAGGAAAAAGTCCTCAACAGCAATTTATTCTATCATCCAATACAGGTCAACAAATAAAGAGCCATTTGGGGAAACCAGATTCAGATTGAGTCAGTTGAGGTGCGAGTCAACAAATGTATGAAGCTGACAAAAGGAAATCTACTAGCTGCAAGCAGAAAGATTGCCAAAATGAGCGATGAAGACTCGATTTTATAGAAAAATGTAATCGACTGCTATTCAATTATGATGCATTCCAAAGGTGGAAAAAAGTTTCAGAACGTGAGAAGCTGATTTACGATCGGAACCAAAGAGATCTTCGAGCAGACAGCGAATAGTGCTTGGAATAATGGGTTCGAGTTTAGCAGCTGAAGCTTAAGACAGCCACCAAATATGGCTGTAAAGAGAAAATGCTCGGGGAATCATTCGGAAACCTGTTAGAGGATGATCTATCGTTTGAAGAGAATACTTACGGCAAGGATTACAACTCAAGGTATGGAAGATGCTCTATGGGTAGCAGAACACCCAGAGGTGAAGCCGAAGCAAGTCGTTTGGGTTTTTCGCAAAATCTGAAGGATCCAGTGGCAGAAAATGTGAGGAAGACGGTAAAAACAGGCTAGAGAAGATAAAATGGGACAGTAGTTCGGTATTTGTTTGCAGATTGATCAGTAAACAAAAACTGACTGTTATCCCTTTCAATGGATCGGAGCTTTTTCGATCGATTTCACTTTTTCAAATTCCTCACAAAACGGTTGAACTAAGTTACCTTGCAGAACAATATTTTGAGAAAAAATGGTAGTAATGCGCCCTCAGATCTTAGAAGATGGCTGACGTCAGCTCGAACGCATGTGAAAAGATGCTTGTGTGAAGAGCGAGGACAAGATGGGCTATTGGAAAATGAGAGAGTTTACTGTGAGAGTTTGCTAACAGTTGTTCTCAACCATGTGGTTTCTTATAAATTTTTGCAATCACCTTTCTACTGGGTTATATTGGCAAGTGTTCCACTTTGCCCCTATCATATAAACCCCATCCATCGTCTTCATTAGCATTGGCCTTCTTTTTTCAATATTATATATGAATCTACAAGATGCTCGGTTAAATTATCGTGTGGTATGCTTTCATGATTGGGATGGCCCAGAGATCCTCTAAATTATTGTGGACAGTAATCGTCCCTACATAGGCCAACTGAATGGCTTTGGAACGGAAGTCTCTAAAGAAATTCTTTCCATACCTCTAAATGGTCAGTGGGTCGACAGATCGATCCTGGGTAATTGTAAAGTTGCACTTGATTGCAACGTGGTGTAAACAATAAACAAAAAGGAAACTCAGTTGGGTCAAATTTTTTCTAGAATACTCTCACATGTTGTGTACCCTGCCATCAAGGTAGGATGACTAGTCTCAGCCGATGTTATATTGCCCATAGATTGGCCTCTAGGTTTTCACAATACGATCCACATTCATATACCATTCTGATCCTAACAATGAGCCGGGTGTGAAGTGCACTATAAAAACTGTACAATGGTTCGAAGGCGCTTGTCGAAGTGGAATTTTGTTACAATTCGAGGGCCTTGAGGTTGGCTAATGCTTCCAGAAAAAGTCCGACTATTTACGTTTCTTCGATCATTCGCCCAAATGTTCAAATGTAGGAAGAAACGGTGCTACTGTTATCCGCTGGTTATGACCCTCTTAAATCTGGAAAGAACTAACTAATAACGCTTGAACTCGAGTATTAAGCACTCTTCATAAACTACCTCTTTGAAAAGAAGCATACAAGCTCTAGAAAAACAATTCTCTCTCCCTGATCGATGAAATTTAATGAGAAGACAAGATAAGAAGGACAAGAAAAAGAAAAGCAAAGGAGGAAGGTGTTAAGCGGAGGCCAAGCGTTTAACAGGTGACGTACGTTAATCAGAAAGGAAGTTTTTTCAACTACGAACAAGGCTTAAAACATGGGAGCTATGTATATTTAGTTCTGGGCGGAGAAAGATTGAAAAAAGTGGAAGCAAAAAAGCCGTATGATGGATGGAGTGACGCGGTCAGACAGCTGGAAGCCAAAAAAACGACTTTTTGCAGCTTCTGAAAAAAGAAGTAAATGAAATTTTGAGATGGAACTCTATAGACATCCAGACTCCCTAATTGCTTACTTGAACTTAGATTGAGTTGTTGTGCAGACATAAAGAAAACGTCAGAAGCTGTAAAAGAAAACTTCCAGGAAAGCAGAAGTTCATCAGGTTAGAGTATGGGCTAATTACTCCCCGGCTTTTAGGCAGAGGACAGCCATGTGAGTGTTTGTGGCTGGGCTTTAAGTAGAGTTGAAGTGTCCTGTACCCAAAATTCGTTAGAAGACGCTGACACTTGATTCAAATTCGAATTTCAGAAATTTTTGAGGATGGACGTGATTGTGTCCGTCGTCGGGTGGAGCACGACCGGAAGCGGACAATTTACGAAGCGACGACGAATTCAAGTAAGGCTTCGCTCAACCTCTAATTGTCGCCTTTCAAAATTGGACTTTTCTATGTAAAAAGACAAAAGAAAATTCTCCGGATCGATGAGCCCATTTTGAAATGACCTTTCTTGAAATTCAGTTCAGAATCAGATCAGTGAGCATTATCAAATCCAAAGATCGAGTCCTGAAATGGGCAACAGGTCAACCAACCAATCAATCCTTTCGGGGTTCATTAATTAGTGCTAGGCTCCTTTGGAGATCAAAAAACCCTTCCATCTTTCGGGGCTCATTAGGTGATGCTAGGCTCTTCTGAAGGACAAAAGCTTTGACATGCATTTTAGCTGAACACTGTAAGTCACTGCACAGGCCACATGTGCGTTCAACAACGCCGCTATGGTTCTGAGAGGAAGTTCCATGCCAATTGCATCCCAAAAAGCGGATTGCTTATCACTGGAGGACCCTAATCTTCGTCTTTTTATGGACCGTTTGCTCTCCTGAGTGAGCTGTTCTACATAAAACATTGAGATAGTGAAACTGAGAAAATGGTAAGGCTATAAAGGAGACCAGCAAAAACGGATTGCTTATCACTGGAGGACCCTAATCTTCGTCTTTTTATGAACCGTTTGCTCTTCTAAGCGAGCTGTTCTACATAAAACATTGAGATAGTGAAAATGAGAAAATGGTAAGGCTATAAAGGAGACCAGCGACTGCCTAGCAAGTAGAATAAAAGCAAAACCAACTGTCATGAGAAAGTCCCAAGAAGTAGGT